TCGCAGCGGGGCCTACGGACGATAGCCAAGTGGCAAAAAGCTACGACTCCAATGTTCTGTGTCAAGTTCGAGAAGAGTCAACACTGTACTGACGAATGCTGAGATGACCGGAAAACTGTAATGCAGGAATCCACAGAAAGAAGAATTCAAGCGATTCACAGGAGCCGGTGCTGTGCCATCAAAAGTGTGGGACGCTGCCCTTTGTGGCTCCAGAGGTGCTGAAGGGCGAAGGGCCGCCTGGCTGCAGAGCTCGTGGTGGCAGTTTGCGATAGCTCGAATGGGGCGCGATTTGGTCAACTTTGAGGTATCATGCTCTGCCCGTGGACCTGTGGGGCCGCTTGGGCAAGTAAAGCCGCCCATGTCACGTGACTTGGTGCGTTCTGACCATTTCTGACCCCTCAGACCATTGCAGCCTGAACTGGAACCCAAGGTGTTGGCATTACCATCATCGAGGTGATCTGTGGCTCTCGTACAGTGGATGAGGCTTCAGCAGTACCCGACAAAATACATAGGCGCTGCTTCGAGAAGAAGGGAGCATGTGTTGTCCTTGAAGGTCTACGAAAGAATGCCGGCCGTCCGTATGCATGCCTCGAAGACTTGCCTGTCTGTAGTGATTTGACATCACAGCAGGCCTTGGGCATCTCGGAGGAAGACCATCCCGCTTCGTACTCAGGTTTCTGTGGCTAGCTAGGCCTACTCTTCAAGGTGGTGCGCATCACAGCATCCAGCAGTGAAACGGAACAGAACAGCTACTGAGGCGCTTGGCTACCGCTGGCCGGATGGCTCCTTCTTGGAGAAACTCTTGGAAGGCCAAATGTCTCCAATGGACTCCTAAAATTAGAAGCAATGCGCCCACTTTTATGACACGCAAACAAAATGCAACCGAGAACCGCTTGTCCTGAGACTGTGCATGAGAACCGGTTGCTGAAGACTGCAGCTGTACACTGAAAATTGCTGTCAGAAGTGGAAAATGCGGACGACTTTGCGTGCCAACCTGTGACGGAGGTAGAATAGGCAGAACTGAGGAGTGTAGTTTAACGAAACAAAGAGGCTTCCTGAATGTACACTTCCTGACAGGTTTTCAGGAGCCTGGCTCTTCCGGACAGCTTCTGCGACTTAGATTCCATTACTGGGGTGCTAGTTGGATTGGTGCCAGGAAAATCCAGCCGGGATGCAGTGCCTTCGTGAAGCTGAGGCAGACGCGCTGCATGCCGCAGCTGCGGCACTTCCTTCCCTCACTGGAGCGGTTGGCTCAGTGAGTCCTCGAGCCGTAGGCGCTTGACACGGATCGGCTGAGAGGTAGCAGTCCACACTGCACCGTTTGCAGGTGTAGACTGTTGCGGGGACTCGATGTGCGTGCTGCAGTTAGGCTTACAGCGCTGGCTGGGAGAGAGAGCCTGCAAACGAAAACTCGCAAACTTGGGAACGTCATGGAGTGCCCGGCTATGAGCCCTCACCAGCAAAGCACGGAAGCGAGGGACGCCCTCTACCCTACTACAGTCTGAGACGCTCTGTTCTCTGCCTTCGTCTCCAGGCCGGTGGTGGATGGCTTGCTCAGAGTGGATCCGGAGGAACTTGCTCATGATCATGGGGGGCTTCATTGTGAGCTAGTGCTTCGGGTGATGCTGATGCTAGATTTTACAGTGGGCTGTTGCTTCTCGTGTCCAGAGTTGCAGCGGAAGTACCGGCCGGATGTGCCCTGCGATGTGTCTGCGAGGACCGATGGACAGCCACGGAGCTTCAAGCGGCACTAGAGCTGGTGCCGAAAGGCCTCAAAGCGCCGGCCTGCATGCAATTATATGCGAGCGCAGCTAGGAGCTGATTTGATCTCACCGTTAAGATGACAGCAGTCTGGCGAACTGACACTTTGGTCTCGGGCTCCATGGGCTGCAAACGCTGTGTGCCAAGTACAGCTACGCAGGAAGGATCGGGGCCCACACCAGCCTGTACTGCTACTTGATCAGTCCCCATCTTGCAGTCAGTGCAAGGTCACACCTCGATGTAAGCAGACACGAGCATGCAAGCACATGCTTTTTGCGTGCAGGCCCTCCAGCGGCGCCTCCGCCTTTGTCGCCCACGCCCCGGTTTGGCAAATTTTGGCTTGAGATGGTGTTAGACTACGACGGCCTCGAAACCGGCCCAGCGCGCCTCGTGGGCTTGCCCTTGCCGCTGATTCGACTCAGGCCACTTCCGCAGATGATGCACAGACCTCAGATTGCTTTGCTTTCTCCTGGAGAGCTTGGAACTTCTCCCGGAGAGCTTGGAACTGTCGCAGGGAGTGTAGTTTTGACTGAGCTCTGTTGAGCAGCCAGTATGGCCTCGGAAGGAACAGGGCGTTGGCAGTTGGAAGACGGTGACTGCTGCAACAGAGCTCACTGTTCACTATTCGTTTCTGCTTTTTGGGTTGCATGTTGATGGGCTCGGAGTCGAAGACCCAGCATGTCCAAACTCGTTTGAACGGGTGAAGCATATTCGTGCCGCACCTCCTTGCTCGTAAACCTGCTAAAGCTGCGATTCAATCAGCTGGCTCCGGGCAACCGTTGCTAGGTTGGGTCGTCGTCCAAGATGCGTGGGACACCGAAGCCATATATCCGCCTGACTCATCCCCAGAATTCGAATCAGGAACAGAACTGTTTCTTGATGAAGATTGATTCTACAGTCTACAGCAGTTGTTCAGCTGCTTGTTGGAAACACGTTGTAGACAAAGGATGTTGAATCATAGCATAACATGCACGTGTGATGTTGCACGACTGCGGATGCCTCTAACGTCTCGCAGGCTCCCTGACAGCGAAGACACGCAGGCAGCGAGCTCATCGTGTGAGAAGCCTTGTTGCGCAGAAGTAGGCTTGACTAGGTTCCAGTCACGGGTAAACCGGCTGTTGAATTTTCATCACGAGCTGGCTCACCTTCTGCTCAGTCCGTCCAGATGTTGGCCCCTGCCTCAGCTGCGATGTGCGGCAATGCAGGGTCGTATGCCTCACACCGGCAGATGCGATGTCTGCGTGCGCACCGCGCTTGAGCATTTGCAGGTGATAGCTGTTGGCTCAAGCCGACGAGCACCTGTACAATTTAAGTCGTGCGAAGGTCCACACACAGAATCAATAGATCGGCGGAAGTGTGCCATGGCTCACCACCACGGTGGCGGCGGACATCCCCAGCATGGTGGCGATGAGTTGCTTGACACCCGAGACGGAACACGAGATTCTTTTTGCGCCGGGCACGGTACCGTCTTGATGTCAGGCTTCCAGCTTGGTTTCGGATCCAGTCAGCCCTGCATCCTGTTTCTGTTTCCAGGATGGGTCATGAATGATCCTTGGAAGTACGCAGCTGGATGCTTTGGCGCTTCTTTCATTCCCGTTGGTCCACTCGTTTTCTCGTGGTGGAGACAGCAGCTGCGAAAAGTCGGTTGAGTGATATTCTCTGCGAGTTCTTGGCTGCCGCCCTTTTCGGGCTGCAAACGTTCCTTGTCGGTGGCTTCGGAGTCGCCTTCTTCGCGCAGCGTCGTGCGAAGCGTCATGAGTCTACGTAAGATCTTGGAAGAGTCGAGTGTAGTAGGAACAACGTGCTGCTCTTCCGCAGAAGATGCCAAGGCATGCGAAAAGAGCATTAAAGCACCTGTGCAGCATGTGCTCGATGGCTCAATTAAGCAACAGCACATGTCACTTCTCACCTGCACAATCAGGGCCATCCCGAACAGCAGCCTGTTGCCCCTGTTTCGCGGTCTAAATCAAGACCCGGCGGGCGCGGCCCATCGCGGCCCATGCTGGGTCAAGCTGTACTGCTCGAAGACCAGTGTGGACTGAGGGCAGTACTATGCAAAAGTAACCATGTTCGTCTTCGTCGTCGTCATCCGTATTGTCTTCGTCATCACCATCACCAGCATCACCCACTGTCCAACCTGCCAGACCAGTACAGGTCATCATCTGTCCATGCCATCGTTCTGAACGGATTGAAGATCCTTTGGGCAGCAGCTGAACCCTTGACCAGGCTTAGGGGCACATGATGGCGCAAGTGTCCGCAACAAGTCCAAGAAGAAGAGCAATGTAGCTTGCGAAGTAATCTGATCCTGTCGGCAATGGCCTTGTTGGTGCCACCCACTGAGATCCGTTGAGGACGAAACCCATGGCGAATTCAGCGAGCTTCAAGAGGAGCAAGAGGCAGCTGCGACCTTGGAAAACACCGGGTCCAGAACGATTTTTTGTGGATTGTTGGCATCGCATTTCGGATATCTCGGAGGTATGTTCAAGGCGCAGTCATATTTGTATGTGCTAATTCTGCATCTGCAGCTGTCATGGACGATCTTGTGCCCTCGAGAAAAGTTAGATGGATCAGCAAAGGCCTCTTTAGCCTCCAGTCACGTCAATACACTTCTCTCTTCTAAAGGCGTCTCTGGTGCGCAATGAGTCTGCCAAAACTGCTGGAACGCTCGGAGGCGGGCAACTGCTAGCTAGATATTTTGAAAGATTACGGCGCTTTGATGCAGCTTTAGAGCAGATGAATGTTGTTGCATCTTCTTGCGGTCTGACATTGCGTTGCCAGGACCGGGATTTCACGCCTTCCACGACGACTGAGGCTGTTGCGAAGCTGGCGCGAAGGCTTTCTCGCGAAGTAGAAGGATCCTGATTTAGCATGATTTAGCTTTCTTTCTGCAACTCAGGCACGTCCGAGCCCACCGTCTCACCACTTTCCGGCAAAGCTGGAGGCTCTAGTCATTCTAGTCACTAGTCTCAGGAGGTGCAGAAGGTCAAAGGTCTTACGTGTTCGTCGTGTGACTGGGTAGTGGAGTGGCGACACGGTCTGCAGTCAAGGAGTTGAGGGCGATTTCTCGGGTTCTTGGCCATGTAGAATTTAGATACCGGCATATGAGAAAGTAGATGATAACAGCTCCAGCAATCAATCGAACACTGTTCGGGTTCCGCGCGGGAAGTAGAGCTTTCTTTCGCCTGCTGCCAAGCTTTGGCTCCCAAGCCTCTTCCTGTGCATGCTCCTGCCGGGACAAGGAGGCATCCCACCATGGTCGCAAGTAAGTTCCCAGACTTGGCCAAGATGAAGGCTTCAAGTACATGTTTATATGTTTTCTCGAGAGGATCAAGACGTTGAGGGCAACAGGGCCCGTCGGCAGTCCAAGTCGGATCATGGACAGTGCGAAGGGAAGCGAGGCGAACTAGGAAAGCTAAACTCCGTAGCCAGCCTCGTGAAGGTCATGGGAGCAGATGACCTGGATGCAGAGACATTGAAACGGCTGAAACGAGAGGCCCGATCAGGGCCAATTTCCATCAGCTCACAAAGGAACAATGTGCTGGCGGAGACTCTGGGGTGCTCCCGTGCTTTACAATTAGCACAGAAAGGCAAAAGCCTTTGCCGTAGCCGGACTTCGATCAAGTATGAGCTTTGCATGACAGGCTGCCATCCGCTCGAAAGAGCAGGACTTCGAACGCCGGAAGAAGGCAGCACTCGAGTTTAGCTGAATCTTTTCGGGGCGGTGCTAGACAGGGAGAGTGATTGAATTGATTTCTGGGTCTCGATTCAGCACGAGTTGCACACGTGCGGAATATTGGCACTGCCAGCCGAAAGAGCGGCAGCATCTGAAAGCCCGAGAAATCAAAAATAAGCCAGAAATTATGGACTGCGCCTCAGTGGTGACGCCAGCTTGTGCAAGGCCGAAGAAAGGAAGAAACGGGAACAGCTTCAGGCTGGTACAAGCATTATCATGTCTCCGGCACCTTTCATGTGATGGCTGCAAGCGCTCTACAGGCGCTACGGGAAGAGTCGGGCTCTCGACACCTCGTATCCAGCAATTTGCAGTTCTTCGAGTGACAGCGCTTTCTCCGCATTGCCTGCATCGGTTTCGGCATGTCGCGACAGTGCATGGACCCAGGTATGAAAGCAAGCAGACGAAGCGGGAGCAAGAAAGGCGGTGTCCTTCGATCCGTTCTTTGCGGCTGTCGGCTGAAATCATCCGATTGCATCTGAGATTTGAACCCAAAGTCGCGCAGTCCCTGGGAGGCTAAGCCTGCTACAGAAGCAAACTGAGCTGCGAGCCAGAAAGAAGGCTGAACCCATTCTCTGAACGGGATGAAACAGTTGGGGCGAGTGCATGAAGGGATGACCGCTTTGGCGGTTGTAATTCGTTTGGGCTCGTACTTCTTGCATGAACAGGCGGAGAATGACCGCTTGAACCAGCTCAGAGAGAAGAACATCTTGAAGAGACATCAGGCTCCGACAGTGGGATGGCAAACAATCGGGATCGGTATTTTCGTCAGGCAGCGAGCAACTCCCAAACTCTGAGTCACCTGTGATTTGGGGCGCTGTGCGCTGCTGTGCTAAGCTGAACAGTGTCTACATTGCCGGGTTGCATCGGAAATATCTACTGTAAAGAGCCTCATGAGTCAAAATGAGGCTCTCTCTCTTTGGCTTTGGGGTCACTTTGGCCCATGAAAGGCTTGGCGCAAGCGCGCGGACGCCGAGATCTCGCACATCATCGAGGACCAGGCCAGGCCGCGGGGCCACGGGCCGCTCGCTGTCCGCCTTCCGCTCTCGCTGTCGCGTCCTCGCAGGTGGCGGAGGAGGAGCGCTTGGAGGAGGTGGGCTGCTCCTCTAAGACGACCTAGTAAAATTCTGATGTCGGCAGATGGTGAGCAGATGTCACATCCGACCAAACGCCGATTGGGCGAACTTGTCATTACATGATGTTCTTTGCTTGGCAGCCATTTGGCTTAGAAGTTCACGTGAACCTCAGGTCGGAGCTTGTCGGTCGGGGACGATTGTTTGTTGTCGGGAATGGTGGCCATCTTTGCTGTGCTAGCGGTATCCGTGGTCGCTGTCGTGGAGACATGCAGCATGCCGACCTCGACCACCGGTGTCCTCACTGATGCACTCATGGATGGGGCAAGCGATGTGGCTGTTTCGGGATCCTATGCGTATGTGGTCTCATATGATACCGACACACTTTCGATAGTGGACATCTCTGATCCTGCCAACCCCACGAAGGTGGGATCCCTTGTGGACAGCACGGACATGGATGCAGCACAAGCGATCAAAGTTGTGGGCAACTACGCCTATGTCATCGGCTACAATTCCGATTCTCTCGCAATTGTGGATGTCAGCAACCCGGCCTCTCCCACGAAGGTCGGCAGCCTCAACACAAGTCCCTCCGGTGACATGAACGGAGCTCACGGTCTGGATGTTGCCGGCAACTATGCTTACGTCGCCAGCAGGCTCAAGAGTTCTTTGACAATCATCGATGTCACCGATAAGACCAACCCTACCCAAGTGGGCTACCTGTGGGATGGCACGCGGTTCACTTGGGCTCGGGATGTCGCCGTCTCCGGCAATTATGCCTACGTGGTGGCATCCTCGTCCTCCTATGTCGCTGTAGTGGACGTGAGCGATCCCACCACACCTGCCATCGTTGGAGCTGTGCAGGACACTACGAACATGGGAGGTGCTTGGGCAATTGCTCTGTCGGGAAACACTGCCTTCGTCGCTGCCCAGAGTGGTGACAACATCGTGTCAGTTGACATCTCCACAGCCGCAAGCCCATCCGTCCAGGACCATCAGGGAGGCTCCCCCGTGATGAACGACGTTCGCGGTTTGGCCATCGACGGGTCAACTGCCTACGTAAGCTCACTGCTAACGGATTCCGTCGTGGCCGTGGACATATCGGATCCCACGAGTACCATGGTTCTTCTCTACTGTCGATGGCTCTAAAGGGTTGAGAAGAGCATCAATACTGTTGAGAATTCCGTTGGGGTTTGGGGGGTTTTGGTGGTTCTTACATTTTCCCCAGGTGGGGATTCAAGACTACCGCAGCACAGGCAAATGGACACTAAGTAGCGAAAGGCAGCGCTCCCACATGATCCCGTATTGCTCGGTAGAGGACCGGGGAAGCGAGAGCCACGGACAGAGAAGCCTACCTTTGTGCAGGATTAGGTCACTGCCTTGTAATGGCGAGGCTCTCAACTTAATCGTTTCTTTAACTCAATCCGCCCATTTCCAAGTCGGGGTGTTAAACATTCAGGCCGCAAGCTCACGGACTTGCGACAGACTCGGCTGGCGGCTTCGGGTTCAATCACCTCCCCGGTTGATGTACTTTCAGAGGTCCTTGCCCGGCCGGGTGACTGTGGGTGCTCTCTCAGCGGGACCTGCAATTGTTGGGCGATACACAAAATTGGGTTTACGTGTTTTGATCACAACCCCATACAGAAGGGAAGGACTGTACCAAAGCAAGTTGGTCTCGGCATTGGCCAGCTTGCTGAGACTTCATGTGCTGATCCTGTGTCGAAGCCTTGTGTCACAAACCTAGCCATACATGCTCCAGCCTCGAAAGGGCAACACGCCTCCCACCTCCTTGGCAACCTAAGGTTTGCCTCATCGGTATGATACCCGAGAATCCTACATAGGATGGTCAAAACACATGGCGACAGGTTTAAGGAGTTGCTATAGCCGCAGGAACCTTTTGCAAAGAGGCTCTTCGGTTTGCATGATATGGGCAAAGCTTTTTCTGGCTCCCAGATCCCCAAGCCCAGGCATGCAGATGCAGGGTTCGTTCGTGTCTTCGACAAATCTAGCCAATCCCCTGGGCATCACGGCGACTCGGACGTCAACTTGCCAATCCTGAAAGAAGCTGCTGTAGGCTGACGGTCAGGCGCATAATTGTCCGTAAAATTCTCAAAAGGGAGATGCCCCTGTTGAGAGTCTTTGGGCCTTTGAGTTTTGTTTGCACAGTCATTTCGAGGGAGTTCTCTTTGGGGGCTTGTTGTGTTCGGGGGATTTCAGTCAGGTTTGCCCTCGCCAACGTACCGGATTTAGAGAGCCCGAAGTCAGCCCAGAAATAGGCATTGGCAAACCCTGTTTCTACAATTCTAGTTCCAGATGTGGCACATCGTGCTGTGCAAAGTTTCATGATAGCCGAGCCGGCTTAGTTGTGATCACTTCACGGGAACAAGACGCCACAGTCAGGTTGACACTAACAACGTGTATGTGGTGTCTGACGACAAACTAGTGATCATGGACAAGTGCACAGCCTCGACTACCACATCAACAACCTCTGCGTCGACATCCACATCCCTGACAACGACGGACTCGACCTTGACAATGACATCTACATCGTCCACATTCACTACGATTACATCGACCTCATCCCTATCGACATCCACATCAATATCAACAACCGAAACAACAGCTACAGTGACGTCAACGTCTTCGATGTCGACTTCATCTACCTCGACATCGTCCTCATCCGCAACTTTGTCAACCACTCTGTCAACAACCGTGTCCAC